CTTTTTGTTATGAAGTTCTAGCAGGTGTCCAGCCCTTCAGTAAAATGGTGCTCAGAACCACCCAATGTGTCTGTGTTTTCTTTGGGCTATGACAGACTGCTTCTCCCTGGGCTCCTGCTCCCAGCCCCGTGTCAGCTCCATGGAATGGTGTCTCCCGTGTGCCCAGCTGCTGTATGGTGCATGGGGCACACTCAGCTGCAGATCAGACCCCCAGCTCTTCTCCCCTGTTCTCCAGGGAAGTTTGGCATTACTCAAACTCCATTAAGGAGTGCCTGGTTTGGTGTGGGAAATACCCCAGATATACGTCACTGGTGCCGAACTGGGATAAATCTGCGTTCCTGGTTATTTCCTAGAAACCTGCAGGATGGCACTGTGCTGGCAGGTGCTCTGCCAGCCTCAGCCTGCCTGCCCACCCTCTGGCTTCTCTCTGAATCAACCCACTCTGCCGCGGGGACCCTCTGCCCAGCTAATTCAACAGAAGCACCATTGTTCCACGGTTTGCGATCTGGATCCGGTTTGTGCTGCAGGGCCGTCAGTGCACTGACCCAGCACTAATGTTGGTGGGACCATGGCCCCGGGCAGACAGCAGCTCTGCTGCCGTGCTGGAGCTCATTCCTCGGGAAGGGAAGTGGTTAAGTAATTCTCTGCTCATTAAGGATGTTCGGGAAAGTGTTGGCTGCCTGCTGCGTGCACGGAAGTCGGTCCAAGCAGGGCTGGCCAGGCATGAGAGGCTACCCCCGGAGCTCAGGGGCTCTGCTGAGGATGGGGGGGCAGGGGGGGAAGGCCTCTGTGCTGCTGCAAGAGTGCCCTGATCGCTGCTGAAAGGTGCTGGGGAGGCGAGGCTGTGGGCACCCGAGGAAGCAGGGGATGCTCGGCAGTGCTGAGACGCTGGTGATGGAGGGCAGAGCTGCTGGCAGACCTCGGGCAGGCCATCTCCCCGGGCAGACTTGGGCCACCCCCATGCGTTCAGCTCTGGGGCAGAGGAAGGGATTGCAGCTTGGCATGGGAAATCAGAGCAGCCTTCAGGGAGGTGTCTGGATGTGGGGTGGGATACCTCTCTTGTCCTTCACATCCCACTGAGAATCCCTCCCTCCCACTTTTACTTCACTTTGCAAGGCCAGGGATCCTGTTACAGTTAACTTTATTGGGCTTTTTGGTTCTCCTCAGAGCAGATAAGGTTTGCTTGGCAAGATCCCTTGACATAGACAGGCTGGCCAGTGCTAATGGCTCTTTGTCTGCTCATCTCCTGCCAGCTCTCCCAGCTCAGAAGGTGGTAGTGGTATCTGACCACCAGCCTGCACTGCTGGACCCTTTCCGGACACAGCCTGGCCTTTCCAAGTGCCTTGCATGGCTATGGGCAGCTGATAGTGCACTGTGCACAGCATCTCTTGTCCTGCTGAGGTGCCTGGCTGTCTCAGGGTGTCCCCAGGGACGTGGGTTTTGGCATCCCTGTGGCCCAGAGCTGTTTCTTTGTCTGCCCATGACCTTGCTTGGCGGCGGGTGGCCAGAGCGTGGCCTTGGCATGGAGAGCACACGGCTGCTCTTTCTTCCTTTGCCCTCGGCCTTGGCTAATAAAAGGCACTATCTCTGCGTGACACCGAGGTCTCTGTGGAGCCCAGCCCTGGTGCACAGCCGTGCTCCTTGCAGGGCTCCAGGGCTGTGGGCTCAGCACCCAGCCCAGCCAGTCCAGAGGATCCTAGACAGCACTGACCAGCACAGGGTGAGTGGGGCATGGTGTTGTCCACAGTGCCAGCACTGGGTGTGAACAGGATCCATCTGGCACGGGTACCGCGGTAGTGCAGTGCAGGGCTTCTGGTACTGCTGTTAGAGATGTGTCCTGAGAGACGGGCCCATGCAGTGCGGGGCGAGTCCCAGCCAGGCTGCCTGTCTCAGCAGCCCCACGTGCTGCACAACCGGGCACAGCAGCCCTTTGGGAATGCTGTGCCTTCTCCCGGCCAGCCTAGGCACGGGACACTGCTGTGTCACACGTGGGCCACCACCAGCGTGTACCTTCCTCTGCCTCACCTTGGCGAAAGCTCGGTGCGGGCAGGTCCCTCCCCTCGCCTGGCACGGCTGCCGGAGGAGGAGACAGGCACTGGCCGCCCTCCTCCAGGAACAGCAGCTGAGCCCAGCCCGAGCCCAGCGGGCCTCCGACCCCGCAGCCCACCCGGGCCACCGGCCACCTGCCCAGCACCCCAGGCTTCCACGGGCACAGGTAGGAGCCGGTGCACTGCAGGGGAGACCCTGGGCACGGCACAGCTCTGGGGTGTGGCACAGCCCTTGGCACACGGCACAGCCCCATGGCACGGGCTGGGAGCTGGCAACTGGCATGAGGCAGCACACAAGGAAGGAGCTGTGGGGTCCTTTGCAGTGACAGGTTGGGTACCCCCACCCTTGCCATGCGTTTCCTGTGGCTGACGTGTGCCGGACTTTGCCCAGGGAGCTGTAGCAGTGGGGAGGGACAGGTTTCTTGGGAGGGACGTTCCCATCCGGCAGCATCGTCGCCGTGCCCGGGTGAGTTCATGGTAGAGCTGATGCCCCGCACGGCCCCACCCCTGCAGCAGAGCCATGCAGGTGCCTATGGGCCATCCCCAGCTGAGGCGAAGAATGATGCAGTGAGCCCTGTGCAGCCGCCCCCGCCGGTTCCTGGAGCATCAGGCACCCATCCCGCCGTGCTGCCCCCCGCGCCTCACTGCCAGCGGCGGCAGGCACGTTCCTGCCGCGCCGTGCCGGCAGCCCGGGGAACGCGGTGCCTCTGGCTCGCCAGCCCACCAGGCGCCCTTTTGTTCGCCGGCGGGGCCCACCGTGCCGCCCGGGGGCCGGGGCGTGCCCGGGCTGCCGACGCCCGGCCGGCCTGGCCTCCGCGGGCGGGCGGGCGGCGGGGGCCTCCAGGCAGAAGGAATCGGCAGTGACATTCCCGTAGCCTGGAGACCGCCGTCCCTTTCAGCGGGCAGCCCATTTGAATAAGAATCGCACACGGGGAAGGGGGGCCACCAGCCGCCATCCCATCGCTGCCCTTGCCCCAGCTCATTTCTGCGCGCCCAGCCCAGGGTCGGCGGGTCCCACGCCGCCCTCGCCCCTGGCCTTGGTCCCGCCGGACGCCGCAGGACGCCAGGTACAGGGGGCTCGCGGGGCTCGGGGACCCTCGTGCCAGCACGTGGCTCTGCCCCACCTTGTCTATCGCCCTGGCATGGCTTCGAGCGGGGCGGGTGCCAGAGCGGAGTCGCGGCTTCCCCCGCCGCCCCGAGCCCCCTTGCCCTGGGCTGGCTCCGTGCGGGGGACAGGAGAGATGTGTTTGGGCAGAGCCGAGACCAGGCTTTGATCCAGCACTTGTGAGGCTGGGAGCGGGAAGTACCGGGGGAGAAGGAAACACAAAAGACAGCTCCAACTTAAATTTAACAGTGGGACCCTGGCCAGAGTCAGGGACGCCCTTGCCCAGTCGGCTCCAGCGTTCCTGGCTCCCCTCCCAAGCTGGCCCTGGCCCGGTGCTGGTACCCCCCCAGGGACACTAATGACTCTCAAAAGGATAGATCCATTCTGAGCCAGGCAGGATGGGGCATGGGACAGTTCGTGCCAATTCTGGTGGGGCAGAGCATGGCTGTGTGCCTGGATGTGTGTGTGACAGTCCCCCAGAGCTGCTCAGGTGGACACTGCATGTCGTCCCAGAGGACTTTCAGACTCAACCGCTCCCGGAAAGCACCATCATGCCATTGTGCCGGGTGCATCCTGGACTGCACAGTCGTGCTAGAGCCAGGAGAGGACAGGCACCAGCCGCCCTGCACCGCATGCCATACCCTGCACCCTAGCACAGTGCCATCTCCCTGTTCCACCAGGCAGATCCTGTGGTTGCCCATGGACCTCTTGGTGCTTGCTTTCCTCCTGGGTAAGCATTGGCTGTGGGGGCACCCTGCATACCCACAGTGCTGGGAGCTGTGGTGGTTCAGGGACCCCAGTGTGGGTGGAGGTCAGCTGGGCAGCAGAGGTGGTGGCAGTGGTGATGCTCCCTGCCTGGCAGTGCCCGTAGCCTGACTGCCACAAAATCCAGCGGGGAATCCAGGCTGCACTAAGCCCTGTCGGGATTAGCAAGCGCCTGACCTGGCTCCTGACTCCCTGCGGCACTTCTCAGCACCCTGGGGCTGTCCAGGCCCCCAGGAGCACGGGCAGCCCAGCCCCCACTCACCCTGCTCTCTGCCCCTGGTCACGAGGCTGCGGCGCTGCTGCCAGCACCTTTCCGGATCACGGAGCTTCATGCTGCATCAGTGGGTCGGGATGCAGGGATGGGATGGGATGGGACAGCTGAGGGTGGGGTGGGTGCATGGGGGAGCAGGGGGTGCCCAGGCAGCCCAGCGCAGCCCCCAGCCTGTGCCCTCATGCTCTCTGCAGTCAGGGAACTGGTGGCAGGGGGATGGCAGGAGCCTGACCTGAGCCACGGCTGTGCCCGTGGCAGCTGCTACCCAGCTACTGGGAACCTGCTGGTGGGGCGAGCCACCCGCCTGAGTGCCACCTCCACCTGTGGGCTGGATGGACCCCAGGAGTACTGCATCGTCAGCCACCTCCAGGTGAGCCCACCCAGCCCCAGAACAGCTCTGGCATAGACCCACAGAGCCAGGCACTGGTGCAGCCTCCAGTCACCCATCCCTGATGGTGCCACTCCCTGGCACAGGACTCAGAGAAATGTTTCACCTGTGACTCACGTGACCCGTCCCTGCCTGAGAGCCACCGCATCGAGAATGTCATTTACCTGAGCAGCCCCCGTGGCCAACGGACCTGGTGGCAGTCCGAGAATGGTGAGGTCAGGGTGGCAGTGGGGTTGCCCCATATGCATGTGCTGTGGGACTGAATGGCCATGGGGGTCATTCCCAGTCTCAGCCATCTCTGTCTCTCTCTGTCTCCCAGGTGTGGAGCATGTCAGCATCCGCCTGGACCTGGAGGGCGAGTTCCACTTCACCCACCTCATCATGAAGTTTAAAGTGGGTCCTGGCACATGGATGCCTGGGATGGGATGGAATGGTATGGGACAGGATGGATCTGGAGGGGCTGTGGGTCTGGCCCCCATCCCATCTGGATGTCCTGCAGACCTTCCGCCCTGCGGCCATGCTGGTGGAGCGCTCAGCCGACTTTGGGCGCACCTGGAAGGTGTACCGCTACTTCGCCTACAACTGCTCCAAGCTCTTCCCTGGAATCCCCAGCCACCCCCAGGGGCTTGTGGATGAGGTGCTATGTGACCAGCGCTACTCTGAGATCGAGCCATCCAGCCATGGGGAGGTGCGTGGGGATAGGGTAGTGCAGAGCAGGGCCAGGGGTCTGGGTGGAATGGGATCACCCTTTCCTTCCTTCTCACAGGTCATCTTCAAGGTGTTGGATCCCTCCATCCCCGTAGCAGATCCCTACAGCCCAGACATCCAGGGTATGCTGCCGGGCCTGTGGGGGATGCAGGGCTGGCTGGTGTCAGGGCATGTGCTAACAGTGACACTCCCCCAGACCTGCTTCGTGTCACCAACCTGCGGGTGAACCTCACCAAGCTGCACACGCTGGGGGACAACCTGCTGGACTCACGGCGGGAGGTGCTGCACAAGTACTACTATGCTGTGGATGAACTGGTGCTGCGTGGGAGCTGCTTCTGCCACGGCCACGCTGCCCACTGTGCCCCAGCACCGGGTGCCCCAACACCCTCTGTCCCCGGCATGGTGAGGCACACGCACCCACCAGCATGGCATGGTGCCCCATGGGACCTGGCAGCCACGCTGAGCTGGGTGCCCCCCTCCAGGTCCACGGGCGCTGTGTCTGTGAGCACCACACGCAGGGGCTGAACTGCGAGCGCTGCGAGGATTTCTACCACGACCTGCCCTGGCGCCCGGCCGAGGGCTCCAGCACCAACGCCTGTCGCCGTGAGTGCCAGGGCTGTCGGGCTGTGCTGTGCCAAAGGTTTTGGGGTGCTGCAGGATGTACTTTGGGGAGGTTTGGGATTGTGGTGCTGCATGTCATAGCAAGGAGAGCCCGGGCAGGGGAGGTTTGGCCCTTGGGGTGTGGGCTGTGGTGCCACATGCCATGCCGTGGTGCTGTCCCTGCAGGCTGTGACTGCAATGAGCACTCACGGCGGTGCCACTTTGACATGGCTGTGTTCCTGGCCACGGGGAACACCAGTGGGGCTGTGTGTGATGACTGCCAGCACAACACCATGGGCCGCCACTGCCACCTCTGCAAGCCCTTCTACTACCGGCACCCTCGCTCCGACATCCGGTCCCCCACTGCCTGTGCCCGTGAGTGTCCTGGGACCCCAGCCCCACGGCTTGTCCCAGCCCTATGGCTCCTGGTGCCGACTGCCCCAGTCTCACAGCTCCTGGTGCTCCTCTCTCTTGGCAGCATGTGATTGTGACCCGGCAGGCTCGCTGGATGGAGGTGCCTGCGATGGGCACACGGACGTGGCGCTGGGCATGATTGCGGGGCAGTGCCGCTGCAAGGAGAACGTGGCCGGTCCCCGCTGTGACCGCTGCCAGCACGGCGCCTACGGCCTCAGCCATGGCGACCCACAGGGCTGTCAGCGTGAGCTGGGAGCCAGGGATGGCGTGGGAGAAGGGATGGGGATGGGGGGATGAGGGAGGGATAGGGATGAAGGGATGAAATTGGAGGGATGGGGAACGAAGGGATGTTGATGGAGGAATGGGGATGGGATGGATGAAGATGGAGGGATGGAAGTAGAGGTCTGGTGATGGAGGGAGGAGGATGGAAAGATCTGGGATAGAGGGACAGAGATGGAAAGATGTAGGATGTAGGGATGAGGCATAGTTGTATGGGAAGGGATGGAGGGATGGTGATGGAGGGATGGGAATGGAAGGGATGAAGATGGATAGATATGGGATGGGGAAGGAGGGCCATGAAGCATGTGGGCTGCAGTCCCACTGGCACCCCCTCACATGTGCATGTGTGGGGGCAGCATGCAGGTGTGACCCGCGGGGTACGGTGGCAGGCAGCTCCCCGTGTGACCCCATCAGTGGGGACTGCTACTGCAAACGCTTTGTGGCTGGGCGCTCCTGCAGCCAATGTGTGGTGAGTGCCCCAGCCTGCCCCACACCATGCCTGTGGGACTGACTGTCCCCAACCCCATGGCAACCCCCAGGGCTGCCTTACATGTTCCCTCCTCACTGCAGCCCGAGTTCTGGGGTCTGAGCTACGACTTGGGGGGCTGCCGGCCCTGCGCTTGCGACTTCGGGGGAGCCTACAACAACCGGTGGGACACAGCACAGCACCTGGAGTGGCAGGGGTGGGGGCGAGAGTGGGCACAGGGCTGGGAGTCACACATGGGGGGAGGGAGGGATGGAGACAAGGCTGGGGAAATATGGGGGCTGGGTTGGAGGGAGAAAGAGAGGGATCTCTATCTCCAGAGATGGAGAGATGGGGACAGAGATGGAAGTAGGGATGGATGAAGACACAAAGAGACAAAAGGACAGATAAAAGGACAGGATGGTCACCCCCAGGTGCTCCATGGAGGATGGGGCATGTCCCTGCCGTCCCCACATCATGGGGCGGCAGTGTGACCAGGTACAACCCGGCTTCTTCTGTGCCCCCCTCGACTACTACACCTATGAGGCCGAGCAGGCCACTGGCCATGGCCACAGCCACCCTCAGCTCCCGGTGAGTCTCCTTGGGGATCACTGTGCTTGTGCATGTCTGTGACTGTGCACCATGCTCTATGCATAGCTGCCGCTGTGCACTATGCATGGCTGTCACCCTATCCTGCATGTGGTTGTTACCATGCCCTGTTCATGGCTATCCTTGTGCACATCTGTCCCTGTGCATTGCCACCATCCCCTGACCCCATCCCTGCAGGGTGCCATTCGGGTGGAGGTGCCCCAGGACTGCCTGGACTATGACACCAAGGAGCCGCCGGGGCGGAAGGGACGCTCACGGCACCAGCACAGCCCCCTCCGTGCTCCCCAGCCCCCTGTCCCCTCGCGCCGCAGCCGCCAGCAGCCCCCCAAGGTGAGCCCTGGGCTGGTAGGAGAGCGCACAGTGAGGCACTGCAGGGCTGGGGATAGAGCCAAGGCCAAACTGTGCCGGTTCCCTGCCCAGCTGGACGTGGAGGAGGTGGTGCGGGACAGTGCCGGGCGCATGGTGACGTGGACAGGCTTGGGGTTCGCCCGGGTGCGGGACGGGGCTGGCCTGACCTTCCGCGTGGACAACGTGCCCTACCCCATGGACTACGAGCTGCTGCTGCGCTATGAGCCCGAGGTAAGCACGGCCACAGCCATGGCCACTGTGTGTATGGCACAGCACAGCCCTGACCCTGCCTTGCTGTCACCACAGTCAGCCGAGGACTGGGAGGCCGTGGTCAGTGTCAGCTCCCGGGTGCTGCCCACCAGCTCTCGCTGTGGGAACCTGCTGCCCTCCGAGCAGATGTACCGTGAGAGTCTGCCCCACAGCCAGAGGTGCAATGGGATGGGCTGGGGCGGGCTGGGGATGGGAGCAAGGGAGGTGGTTGGGTCCTGCTGCTATCCTTTTGCTGTCTCCATGGCCCTGCTGTGCCCGTGCAACACCTGACTCTGCACAGGTACGTGCTGCTGTCCCGGCCCTTCTGCTTCGAGCCCAGCACCCCTTATGAGGTGACCATGCGGCTTCAGCGGGCTGGTGTCACCCAGCGCCACCCTGGCGCCTTCATCCTCATTGACTCGGTGAGGGGGTCCCACTGCACCTTGTGCCTGAGGCTTGGCACTGGTGGGATCATGGGCAGGGACAGGGAACCAGAGGCTGGAGTGGGAAGAGACCCCCCTCTGGGGATGAATGGGGTTGGGATGGGGATGAGGTGAGATGAGATAGGATGGGATGGAGATGAGGCGAGATGAGGATGGGAATGGGAAACTGGATGTTGAAGGGGAAGGGGATATCAATGAGACTGGGGATTTAGATAGAGTTGGGGTTGGCTTAAGGATGTCAGTGTAGAAGGGGATAAGGAAGTTTCTGGGGATGGTAATTTATATGGGAATATCAATGGAGCTGGGGATGTCCATGGAGCTGGGGTTGTTGATGGAGCTGGGGTAGTTGACCCCATCAGTATTGGGACTGGAGCACATGGATCCAGCATAGTGGTAGGTCCCAGAGTGGAGGCTGGCTATGCCCCCCAGCCCCATCACCTCTTCCCTTCCCCCAGTTGGTGCTCCTGCCACGGGTGTCAGAATTGCCAGGGTTCCACGGGGCAGAGGCAGCAGCACGCCAGGAGGAGCTGGAGCGGTACCAGTGCCTGGAGGTGTTTCGCATGGCCCCCCCTCATCCCCTGGCCGAGGCCTGTGCCCGCCTGGTCTGCAGCGTCTCAGCCCTGATGCACGGCGGGGCACTGCGTGAGTGGGGAGCCTGCAGGGGTGGGAACCACAAGTGGGCAGGGGTGGAGCCCTGCCTGGGGCAGTGGGTCAGGATATGCCCATGCCCATGGCATGGTGGGCAGGAGGGCAGCGGCAGGGTGTGGGCAGGGCGTGGGCAGGTGCAGACAAGGCAGCCCTGGCCCCATGCTGGTCCTGCTCTCGCAGCCTGCCAGTGCGACCCACAGGGCTCCCGCAGCAGCGAGTGCCAGGTGCAAGGCGGGCAGTGTGAGTGCAAGCCCCACGTCATTGGCCGACGCTGTGACCACTGTGCCCCAGGCAGCTACGGCTTTGGGCCCCTGGGATGCAGCCGTGAGTAGTGGGATCTTTGTCTGCCAGGAATTGCTGTCTCTCCTGTCTATCTGTCATTGCCCTGTTCACTTGTCTGTCTGTGCATCTGTCTGTGCATGTGTCATCTCAGCCCTGCTGTCCTGCAGCCAATGGGTTCAGTCACAGTTATCCATCCATCCATCCATCCATCCATCCATCCATCCATCCATCCATCCATCCACATGAGCTCCCTGTGAGCATTGTGCTGTTCTGCATTCTCTCATCTGTCTGTCCACCCATGTTCTTGTGGGCCTATGTGTCCACATGAGCCCTTCTGTACCACAGCCCATGGAGTGAGCATGTTCTGGGTGCTGGTCTGTCTGTCTGTCTGTCCATCCCTGTGTCCCTGCACCCATGTGCCTGACTGAGATGTGCTGCCCTGCAGCCTGCACCTGCTCCCCCGAGGGCTCCGTGTCCCAGCTGTGTGACAAAGTGAGTGGGCAGTGCCGGTGCCAGCCCGGCACCGTGGGCCGGCAGTGTGACCAGTGCCAGCCCGGCCACTGGGGCTTCCCTGCCTGCCGGCCCTGCCAGTGCAACGGGCACGCCGAGGAGTGCGACCCCCGGACGGGCACCTGCCTGCGCTGCCGCGACCACACGAGCGGGCGGCATTGTGAGAGGTGAGCCAGGTCCAGGAGGAGGGGATGGTGTGGCATGGCATGCTGTGGTATGGTGTGGTGTGGTGTGGTGTGGTGTGGTGTGGTGTGGTGTGGTGTGTGGTGTGGCGTGGTGTGGTGTGGTGTGGTGTGGCATAGAATGGGGTTGATACAACAGAGTAGGACAGGATGAGATATGATGGTATTGGATATGTTGGAATGGTGGGATGGGTTGAGGTGGGCTGCGTAGATATGATGGGATAGATATAATGGGATGGGATGGCATGGTGTGGGATGGGATGGGATGGGATGGGATGGGATGGGATGGGATGGGATGGGATGGGATGGGATGGTGGAATGTTATATGATGGATGGGAGGGACCCATTGGGTGCCCCCTCATCCTTTCAGGTGCCAGGATGGTTACTATGGGAACCCTGTGCTGGGCTCAGGACAGCAGTGCCGGCCCTGCCCCTGCCCTGGCTACCCTGGCACACGGCATTACCACGGGAATTCCTGCCATGCGGACGATGAGACACACCACATCATCTGCCTCTGCGCCCCTGGATACGCGGGTGAGGGGCAGAGTGGGCACAGGGCAGCAGGGACCCCCTGCGCTGGGGCTGCAGGACCCCAGCACCGATAGCCCCCCTCTCTGCAGGGCCCCGCTGTGACCGCTGCTCCCCTGGTTACTTCGGGGCTCCGGAGATGGAGGGGGGGGAGTGCCGGCCCTGCCAGTGCAACAACAACATCGACGCCAGCGACCCGGAGGGCTGCGACCCCCGCACGGGACAGTGCCTGCGCTGCCTGTACCACACCGCCGGGCCACGCTGCGCCCAGTGTCAGCCGGGCTACTACGGCAGTGCCCTGCAGCGCAGCTGCCGGCGTGAGCGGGGCAGGGGGGTCTGCGGGGCTGGGGCTGCACGGGGTTTGGGATGGGGGGATGGAAGTGATGCAAGGGCTCAAGGCAGGGATGAGGCGTGGGGCTGTGGTTGGGTGTAGGGTGATTTGGGTTGGGTCAGGGAGAATTTTGAGGTGTTGCAGGGCTAGGGTTCAGGGCCAGGAGAGATTTGGGGGTGTTAGAAGGGGTATGGGGCTGTGCCTGGGCAGGGGACAGGGAATCGGGGGTGGTGGGGGTGTTGAGATCAGGGGTGTTGGGGCTGTGCAGGGATTTGAGGTTAGGCAGACTGGGGGGCACTGGGGTCAGGCAGATTTGGGGTGCTGGGTCCAGCAGCACACTGCCTGGGCAGCAGGTATGGGCTGAGCCCCACGTGGGCACCCACCCTCCTGCAGGCTGTGGCTGTGACCCACGGGGTACACTGGCCTCCCACTGCACCGATGGCACCTGCGATTGTGACCGTGGCACAGGAGCCTGTGCCTGCCGCCCCAACGTCGTGGGCAAGAGCTGTGATCGCTGCGCACCCCACTTCTGGAGCCTGGGGGGGGCAAGGGGCTGTGAGCCCTGTGGCTGCCACCCCACACACGCCCTGCACCCTGCCTGTGACACAGTGAGTCCCCTGACACCCTGGTATGGTTCCACTGTCCTCCTGGGGCCCAGTGAGCTGCACAGTGAGCATGGCACTGTCGCTGCAGGTGACAGGGCAGTGCCAGTGCCGGCCTGGCTTCGGGGGTCGTGTCTGTTCCCAGTGCCAGGAGCACCACTGGGGAGACCCCGAGCAGGAGTGCAGAGGTGGGAACACACCCCAGGGACTGGGGGAGCAGGGGCTCTGGGGACAGGGGATATGGGGAGGACTCTGGGTGCATGGTGAGACTCTAGGGAAATGGGGGCCCTGGGGACATGGGAGTCTCTGAACATGGGACACTAAGGAGACAGTGGGACCCTGGGGACACAGGGCATTCGGGAGATCTTGGGAATGTGGTGGAACACTGTGGGTGTGGTGGACCTTGGGGAAACAGTGGGATGCTGGGGACATGGTGGAACGCTGAGGACCTCAGTCGCACCATGGAATGTCTCTGGGGACATGCAGAACTCAGAGGACCCAGAGTACTTGGTGGAACCATGGGGACAATAGAAGATGCTGGGGATAGAATGGATTCTGGAGACACAGGGGAATATGGTGGGATGCTGGGACATGGTGGCAGTGTGGGGGTATGGGGCTCCATGGGAAGGCTGGGACACACTGCCAACTGTCTCTGCAGCCTGTGAGTGTGAGCCGCTGGGTGCTGAGAGCCCGCAGTGCGAGCAGGACAACGGGCAGTGCCGGTGCCGGCTGGGATTCGGGGGGCTGCGCTGTGACCGCTGCCAGCGGGGCTACCAGGAGCCCTTCCCCCACTGCTCACCCTGCCACCCTTGCTTCGGGCACTGGGACCTGGCCGTGGGCAGCCTGCGGGAAGGGCTCCAGCGCCTTGGGGCACAGGTGCAGGCACTGAGGGAGGGGGGATCTGCACTCCCACTCAGCCCCCGTCGCCTGCGAGAGCTGGAGGAGGCTCTGGGGCACGTGGAACAGCTGATGGGAGAGGGAGACAGCCCTGGTAGTCCCCTCCTCGATGGACTGCCCAGGCAGCTGGATGGCACCAGGCAAGTGTGCATGTAGAGCTGGGGTGGAGAGACCCCCTTATTGTCCCCACCCAAAAGTTTGAAGCTATCCTCCCTTCCCAAAGGATGGAGCTGGACAATTTCTGGAAGCACCTCCAAGAGTTGGAGCAACATCTCGACCAGCTGGCACAGGCAGATATGCAGCACCATGACCGGCTAGCTGAGCTGAGCCGTGAGCTGGGACGTCTCAACCAAACCACCTCCGACCTCCAAATCCTCCTCGGCACTGTAGCGGCTGCCGGATTCAGCGGTAAGAGCAACCAGCAAGGTTTGGGTTTGGTGGCAGCCATCCTGGCCAAGCCCTGACACCCGCACTCGCAGAGTCTTACCGCAGCATCCTGGCATCGGTGGAGGCCTCGCGGCAGGCAGAGGTGGTGGCCAATGGCACAGCTGGCGAGCTAAGTAACGCGCGGATGATGCAGCGGACAACTGAGCGGGCACTGCAGCAGCGGGGTGATATTTTCCGCCGTGGCACAGCCGCAGCCCGGAAATCCTTGCGGGAGACACAAAAACAGGTGGTGGGACTCAGCATTGCCAGGGTTAACGAGAAGGTGAGAGCAGGACTGGCAGAAGTGGCGCGGGCATCACCTGCCATGTGATGTTGAGCTGCCATTTCCACCACTGGCATCATCACAGATTTGTGGGGCACCTGGAGACCAGAGCTGCAAGCACGCGTCTTGTGGAGGCGCCTTGTGCCGAGACAGTGCAGGGATGAGGCACTGCGGCGGCACTGGGTGTGCAGGGGCACTGCCTATCTCAGCTCGAGCCCTGAGCAGTGCCCGTAATGCCTCACAGCAGCTGGAGGTGGCATTAGGGCAGCTGGGTGTTGTGGCACAGAAGGTAGGAGCGGTTGGTTGCTCCATAGCACTTTCTGGGATCCTCTTGTATTCCCTTTGCATGTCCTGTTTGTGCCCTTTCCATGCCACTTTGCATGACCCCTTTCTATGTCCTGTTTTTGCCCTTTCCAAGCTCCCAAGTATGTTAGCTCTGTATGTGTCTCTTACACCCATTCAGAGATGCCCCTTGTGCCAGTTGTGTGTGTGCCCCCTTGGGCCACTGCTGTACCTTCTGTCCCCTTGCACCCCCCTTTCATGCTCCTTTGCAGGCTCACATCTTGCCCCCTTGTAGCCCCTGCTCACCCAAATGCCCCCTCCCGGGGCTGCCCTATGCCCCCTGCTCAGCCAGGTGCCCCTCAGATGCAGGAGGTGCAGGAGCTGGCACGGGGGGCACGCAGCAGGGCAGAGGAGGCGCTGGGGCGCTCTCAGGCTGCCCGCAGCCATGCAGAGAAGGCGACGGCCCAGCTCCGGGACTTCATCCGCCGAATCAAGGCCTTCCTGGCAGGTAGTGACAACCCCAGGTGGGCACATGGGCATGGCAGGACTCAGCGAGCCCATCCTGAGCCCACCCTGCTCTCCTGTCCCCGCAGAAGAGGGAGCTGACCCAGCCAGCATCGAGCTGGTGGCCCGTCAGGTGCTGAACATCTCCCTGCCCAGCAGCCCTGGACAGATCCAGGAGCTGCTGTGGGAGATGCGGGAGAGCATCAGCCAGCTAGAGGGGGTGGACGCAGTTCTCAACAGCACCGCGGAGGGGCTGGCTGTGGCACGGGATCTGCTGGCACAGGGACAGGAGGCCAGGCAAGTGGTGGGGGCATGCTGGGGCAGGCAGGGGATAGGGTCAGTCCCCCTGCAGTGGCAGGGGCTGGAGCTGCCTGTGCTGCTGCAGGGAGCGAGCAGAAGGCGTAAGGGATGAGCTGGTGGGGACACAGCAGGCACTGGAGGTGGCACGGACACAGGCGATGACAGCAGGGAGCACCCTGCAGAGTGCCAGGGATGCCATCCAGGTGGCTGAGAACAGAGCCAGGGAGGTGAGGAGCACGGGCTTGGGGAGTGGAGCTGGTACCACTGGGAGTAATGGGAGCAGTGCTGTGGAGAGCAAGACTGATGCCTTGGGCACATTATGGGTAGGGAGGCTGGCACTGGGGAAATGTGGCTGGCATTGGGCAGGGGCCAGGGCAGTGGGGCTGGCACCATGGGCATGGTGGTTGCGTTGCCTGCTGCAGCCGGTGTGTCCATACCTGCCAGGCGGAGCGCAGGCTGCAGGTGCTGGACAGGAAGGAGTCGCAGGCGCAGAGGCGGCTGCGGGAACTGGCACAGCGCATCACCACCCTGCAGGAACACAGCAGGGATGCTCGCCACATGGCCCAGCAAGCCAAGGATGGGGCACAGCGTGCCACCACCACCTCGGGGACGCTTAGCCAGGTGAGCTCTATCCCTGCCTGGTAATGCATGGCACCAAGCAGGTACTGGGTGCTGCAGGTGCTCAGTCTCACCACGCCCTTGTGCTGCCAGGACCTCGCACAGGTAACACAGCGTTATGTGGTGCTGAAGAACCGGGTGGGCACGCTGGACAGGGTGTCTGGTGGGGTCCTGCAGCGTGTGTCGCAGCTGATGGCAGAGGCCCAAGACCTCCTGGATAAGGCCAGCAACAGCAAGAGGAAGCTGGAAGGTGAGAAGGAGCACATGGTGGGGTATATTTCCTGCCACCTCCCCGTACATCTCCCTGTATCTCCCTAGGCCCATCCCACCGGCTGTGCCAAGGGTGATACAGGACATGGTGGGAGGCTGCACTGTGACCATGTTGCTCATCCCGCAGACCTGGAGCAGCGCTTTGGGGCCAATGAACGGACAATGGCAGCAAAGGTGACACGACTGCAGGCTTTGGAGCAGCAGGTCACCGGGCTGTTGCAGGAGATCCGGGAGAGGGCCAACGCTTACGCCACCTGCTAGGGACCACTGGCGGGACCGGGGGCCGGTCCTGCCCCGCCGCCCCGCAGGTCCCCGAGCCCGGCAGTCCCGTCCACTCTGCAGGTGCCTTTAGTGTGGGTGCGCCTGCAAATAAAGCCCTAAACTGTGTGTGTCTGTGTCCGATGCCTTCTGCCTAGCCTGCTCCTGCCTCCTCCCGCCTCTCGGCCGGCCCGCTCCCCCGCTCCAGCCGGGATCCGCCCCGCGCTTTCCGCGCAGCCCCGAGCGCTGCGCCTGCCGCCAGTTCGGAGGGGCCGGGAGGGACCGGGAAGGGGACAGGGAAAGGACTGGGAACGGGAACGAGAAGGGGAACCGGTGAGTCAGGACAGGACGGGACGGGACCGGCAGCACCTGCCGAGCGCCCCCTTTGCGCCCCTCTCCGTCCCGTCTGGCCGCGTCGCGCCCGGCGATGCGGAGCCCGGCGAAGCGGAGCCCGGCCGTGCTCCTGCTGCTGCCGCTGCTGGCCGGTGAGTCCGCGCCCCGCGCCGAGCGGGGCCGGTGGGCGCCGGGGTCCGGCCCGGCCCCGCCGTCCGGTTTCCGGGCGGTCGCGGAAGGGGCCCCGGGCGCGGCGGGGGGAAAGCCGGCCCGGTCCCGGCCCCCCCCGCCCCGCAGCGCCCTCAGCCGCCCGCCGCTCCGCAGGGCTCGGCGGGGCCCTGGCCCCCGACTCCCCCCAGGGCTGTGCCCGCGGTAGCTGCTACCCGGCCACCGGGGACTTGCTGGTGGGGCGAGCAGCCCGCCTGAGTGCCACCTCCACCTGCGGGCTGCGCCGGCCCCAGCCCTACTGCATCGTCAGCCACCTCCAGGTGAGTGGGACGGGCCCTGGGGGCACCGGACGAGGATGAGGGGCACGGGACAGGGTTGGGGACACACGTCACTGAGCCTGCCAACTCGCAGGAGGAGAAGAAGTGCTTCATCTGCGACTCGCGGCGGCCCTACGATGCCCGCACCAATACCAACAGCCACCGCATCGAGAATGTGGTCACCAGCTTTGCCCCTCGTCCCAAGAAAGCCTGGTGGCAGTCAGAGAACGGTGAGTAGTGGGTGGGGAAGGTGGAGCATCCTGTCCTGTCCCGGGGGGCTCTCCTTCCCTTCCTCCCACACTGAGGAAGTGTGACTCAGCCTGTGGCCGCGGCCACGCCCCTGGACCACTGCCGGGTGTGGGGGACGAGCCCCCGGGACTCGTGAGTGGGTGCTTCCACTTGTCACGCTTGTCACTCCTAGGTGTGGAGCATGTTAGCATCCAGCTGGACCTGGAGGCTGAATTCCACTTCACCCATCTCATCATGACCTTCAAGGTGGGTCCCAGTATGATGGTATCCAGGCTGGGACAGGACAGGATGGAACACGCCCTCAGGGACTGTGGGGCTAGCTCCTGTCCCACCTGGGTATCTCATAGACCTTCCGCCCCGCGGCCATGCTGGTGGAGCGCTCAGCTGACTTTGGGCAGACCTGGAAAGTGTATCGCTACTTCGCCTACGACTGTGCTGCTTCTTTTCCCCACGTCCCCCATGGGCCCCCACGCCGCATTGATGATGTTGTCTGCGAGTCTCGCTACTCTGACATCGAGCCTTCCACTGAGGGGGAGGTGAGGCCCTATTAGTGTCCCAGGAGAGTCAGGGGATCCCCTGCACTGCTCTCATCACCTTGCTGTCCCTTCCAGGTCATCTACCGGGTGCTGGACCCTGCCATCCCCATCCGGGACCCCTACAGCCCTTCCATCCAAAGTGAGTCGCCAGCCATCTGGGCTCCTGCTTGGCTGCTCTATTTTGGGCATAGCTATTTTGGCTGCACTCTCCCTGCTCTGGGCCCTACACAGGGATCAGGACCTGATCCCAAGCCTGCGGGGTCTTGGACCCCTCTGCACCCTGCCCTGTGAGAGCAGCTGAAGGTCAGGCTGCATTGGGTTAAATGGAGGAGGATGGCTGTGCCACGGCTCAGACCAACACCAGCTGTGGTTGGAGATGGGGAGTCAGGCTGGCCATGGAACACAGTGGGTTAATCACCCACCCAAGGCTAAATTTAGACTGGGAGCAGGAGGGGAGGAATCTGCAGGGCAGGGCTACTGGGAAACTGCAGTTCTGGGAAAGCCATCCTGTCTTCTCAAGGCCCCCAGGCTGCATCCACCAGGCACAGCCATCTCCTGGGAACAGCCCCCCATGGTGTGTACCCTGAGACACGTAAAGGTGCTGTGCCAAGGGTGTTGTTCTGCACCGGTGGTGTCCCAGCCTGCCTCTGCTGTGGGAATGCAGAGCCCAGCCCACGCACAGCCAGACTGTGCACAGCTACATGTGTGGGAGCTGAACCCCCACAGCTTCGTACAGCCCAGCCTGGCCACATGCAGCCACGTGCCTGTGAGCCAAACCATGCACAGCCCTGGGCCAAAACTGTGTGATATAGAAAACTGCAACAGACCAGCCTGATAAATATTGTGCAGCCCTGCATGGATGCCCCATGCCGTGCATGGCCCATCCCAGCCGTGCCCAGCAAAGCAGAGCCGTGCCCAGCTCCTGTGAACCACCCACAGCCTCCTGTACCATGCACAGCCCAGCCCAGCTGTGCCTGGCAGAGGTGAGCTGTGCACAGATGTGCCCAGCCAGCCTGTGCCAACAGGGGTCTCTCCCTGCCCTAGACCTGCTGCGTGTCACCAACCTGCGGGTGAACCTCACCAAGCTGCACACGCTGGGGGACAACCTGCTGGACTCACGGCGGGAGATCCGGGAGAAGTACTACTACGCGCTCTACGAGCTGGTGATGCGCGGGAACTGCTTCTGCTACGGGCACGCTTCTGAGTGCGCTCCGCTCAGCGGGGCCCCTGCCACCACTGATGGCATGGTAGGGCAAGCTGGGCCTGTGTGCCCTGCTGGAGCTGGGTAGCTGTGCCGCCTGGTCCCGCAGCTCCTCACCGTGGCATCCTGGTAGGTGCATGGGCGCTGTGTCTGCAAACACCACACGCAGGGGCTGAACTGCGAGCGCTGTGAGGACTTCTACCAAGACCTGCCCTGGCGCCCGGCCGAGGGCTCCAGCACCAACGCCTGTCGCCGTGAGTGCCCCTGCTTGGCGCCAGCTCCTGGCACAGTGATGCCAGTGCCAGAGCGGCCAGGCTGTGCTGTGCCAGGGGTTTTGGGGTGCTGTACAATGGGATGTGGTTTGGTGGTGATCAGCATCATGCAGACTGGCTGAGGGTGTCTGGGGTGCCAGGGCTGTACTTTGGGGGGGTTTGGGATTGTGGTGCTGCATGTCATAGCAAGGAGAGCCTGGGCAGGGGAGGTTTGGCCCTTGGGGTGTGGGCTGTGGTGCCACATGCCATGCCATGGTGCTGTCCCTGCAGGCTGTGACTGCAATGAGCACTCACGGCGGTGCCACTTTGACATGGCTGTGTTCCTGGCCACGGGGAATACCAGTGGGGCTGTGTGTGGTGGCTGCCAGCACAACACCATGGGTCGTCGCTGTCACCTCTGCAAGCCCTTCTACTACAAGGACCCCACCAAGGACCTGCGGGACCCCGCGGTGTGCCGAGGTCAGTGTGGGACAGGCTGTGCAGGGTGGTGCTTTGATGATCACAACACTCACCCTGCCCATCTCCTCAGCCTGCGACTGTGACCCTGAGGGTTCTCTGGATGGTGGGCTGTGTGACAGTGCTGATGACCCAGCCAGGGGCCTGATTGCGGGGCAGTGCCGCTGCAAGGAGCATGTGGCTGGTCCTCGCTGCGACCGCTGCAAACCCGGCTTCTTCGGCCTCAGCACCGACAACCCGCAAGGCTGCCGGAGTAGGTACCAGGGTGGCACCTACTGGGGTCAGGCATGTGGTTTGGCATTGCTGGAAACTGCTGGCTCTCCTTGCAGGGTGCCAGTGTGACTCCCGTGGCACGGTGGCTGACGGCAGCCGGTGTGACCCTGTCAGTGGGGAGTGCTTCTGCAAGCGGCTGGTGGCCGGGCGCAGCTGCAACCAGTGCCTGGTGAGCAGGGCTGTGCCACGGCCCATGCACAGTGCTCAGGACTACAGTACACAGACAGCTGCTCTTTAACACCTTGTGACCCTCTGCAGCCCGAGCACTGGGGACTGAGCCACGACCTCCAAGGCTGCCGGCCCTGTGACTGCGATGTGGGAGGTGCTCGCAACAACCTGTGAGTCTTTGTAGGGATGCAGAGGGCAAGGGGCACCCCTCCTGACATCAGGGCTGATGGTGCTGCTGGGGTACCAGGTGTGCCATGGGGACAGGGCAGTGCCAGTGCCGCAGCCATGTGATAGGAAGACAGTGTGACCAGGTGGAGGCTGGTTTCTACCGCATCAACCTGGATCATTACACCTATGAGGCGGAGGATGCACGGCTGCATCAGGTAAGGAATGAAGGTGTGCCTGGGGCGGACATCAGGCAGAGCAATGCAGTGGGTGCCCCTTTGCAGGGTGCCCAGACCAGCAGGCAGTGGTCTTCCTCCCTACTCAGGGCAGAGCAGTGCCTGCTGGCCAAGGTGACTTTTAGGGTCCCATCTCACAAACCTGCTTGCACCAGGGCTCAGTGGTGGAGCGTGAGCCCCCCCAAGATCGTCCAGCTTCCTGGACAGGGACAGGCTTTGCCCGCATGTTGGAAGGAGGCTGGGTGGAGTTTCATGTGAATGATGTGCCTTTCTCCACCGAGTATGATGTGGTCATCCGCTATGAACCCCAGGTGAGCGCCAGATGGTGAAGCCAGCAGTGTGATATATTGCTAGATTGGGAGGTAGTGGTGGGGAGTTCCAGATGGTGAGGCTTTTTAACACTGCCCTTTCTCGACTGCTAGCACCCAGAGGCCTGGCAGGAGGTAGGGCTGAAGGTGCTGCGCCCCAGCCCTGTCTCTGCCAGCAGCCCATGTGGAAACACCATCCCTGCTGATGACCAGCTCTCCACCAGCCTCCCCTCTGGTGCCAGGTAAACACCTCAGTGGGGTTGGGCTGTGCTGGGGCTCACTGGAGGCACATGGCTGCCCTTACTCTGTTTTGCCCCCATCTAGGTATGTGGTGCTGTCCCAGCCCATCTGTCTGGAGCAGGGTATCTCCTACACACTCCGCCTGGAACTGGGCTGTGCCGCTGCTCATCAGGATCCCACTGCCAGTGTGCTCATCGACTCGGTGAG